TGCCTCCTCTTCTTGACTGGATCTGACTCCTCCTCCTGACTGGGACGTGCCTCCTCCTCCTCACTGGACGTGCCTCCTCCTCCTGACTGGACATACCTCCTCCTCCTGACTGGATCTACCTCCTCCTCCTGACTGGATCTACCTCCTTGACTGGACCTACCTCCTTCCTCCTGACTGGACCTACCTCCTTCCTCCTGACTGGACCTACCTCCTTCCTCCTGACTGGACCTACCTCCTTCCTCCTGACTGGACCTACCTCCTTCCTCCTGACTGGACCTACCTCCTTCCTCCTGACTGGATCTACCTCCTTCCTCCTGACTGGACCTACCTCCTTCCTCCTGACTGGATGTGCCTCCTCTTCTTGACTGGATCTGACTCCTCCTCCTGACTGGGACGTGCTCCTCCTCCTCACTGGACATGCCTCCTCCTCCTGACTGGACATACCTCCTCCTCCTGACTGGACGTGCCTCCTCCTCCTGACTGGACGTGCCTCCTCCTCCTGACTGGACCTATCTCCTCCTCTTGACTGGAAGTGCCTCCTCCTCCTGACTGGACCTCCCTCCTTCTGACTGTGACCTACCTTCTCATGACTGGGCNTGCCTCCTCTTCTTGACTGGATCTGACTCCTCCTCCTGACTGGGACGTGCCTCCTCCTCCTGACTGGACGTGCCTCCTCCTCCTGACTGGACATACCTCCTCCTCCTGACTGGACGTGCCTCCTCCTCCTGACTGGACCTACCTCCTCCTCCTGACTGGTCGTGCCTCCTCCTCCTGACTGGACGTGCCTCCTCCTCCTGACTGGACGTGCCTCCTCCTCCTGACTGGACCTATCTCCTCCTCTTGACTGGAAGTGCCTCCTCCTCCTGACTGGACCTCCCTCCTTCTGACTGTGACCTACCTTCTCATGACTGGGCTGTATCTCCCCCTGACTGTGACCCACTTCCTCCTGAGAGGAACAGACTTCCTCTTAATTGGGACACCCTCACTCCCTTCTGAGTGGGACCCTTTCCTCCTGATTTCCTCCTGCCTCACGAGGACTCCTTTTCAGTCTCAGGCTCTCTCTCATGCACTCTCCCTCTGGCTTCTTCTGGCTGACAGGTGTACAACGTTGGATTAATAGTAATCCTCGCTTTCTCATGTCCTCTCTTCACTGGTCCATCTTGGGGAGTCTTTTTGGTCATTGCTCCTTCCCTGCCAGATCTGACTGCTGGAGCAGCCAAGGGCACCGTGACCAGAGCTCCTGTCCATCTACAGGCTCTCCCCAGGTGACTCCACCTAATTCCCTGTTTTTAATACTCGCAAGATAATACCATCCACCTGGACCTCTCCCTTCAGTTCCAGACACGCAGACACACCTGCTCACTCCAGGCTTTTCAACCTTACCAAGCGCGCACAGGATTCTTGATTNCCCAAGCAGCTGCATGCACACGTGTGCACACGCCCACATGCACACAGGCATGGCCACACACCGAACACTACACACTCACACAAGTGTTCACACAGAGCACACTTCCACTCATGTATGTGCACACACTCACAGGCACACACACAGACACATGCTTGCACACGCACGCACCCAGCACACCAGGCTCACCCTCACATGCTCACAGGTTCACTGCTGCGTTCTGAGCTGTGCCCGCATCTTCTTTCTAAACCCTCCCCAGTCTGCGTCTGGCTATCAGGACCCGCTCCGAAACAAGACACAGCCTTCCCTTGTGTGTGTGGGTGTGTGTGTCTGAAATATCCACACGAGAATGCAAAACAGAACTGGAGGTGAGAGATTTCCCAGGCTGGGGAGAAGCAGGAGAGGCACCCACTGGATATACCTCCTCCTCCTGACTGGGACCTGCCTCCTCCTCCTGACTGGACGTGCCTCCTTCCTCCTGACTGGACCTGCCTCTTCCTCCTGACTGGACCTACCTCCTTCCTCCTGACTGGATCTACCTCCTTCCTCCTGACT